GGTGCAGAGGAACTTTTTTTTTTTAACGATTAAATTATTACAAAAAAGAAAAAGAAAAAAAAAAAAAAGGAGAAAACAGCAGAAGAATTTTAGACTACATGTGACCTCTTTTCGAGCGGGAGGACCTTTCCAAAAATAACACCTCGGTTACACGTTTAGCTGCGAGAAAGGTCGGGTGAATCCTAGACCAACGTGTCAGCGACATTAAAAAAACAAAAAAGTGATATTTTGAAGCGCGGGCGCTAAGCAGCCACGGAAAATGTCACCGTGAAGTATCTTACACTCCACATTATGTATCGCTCGGGGTTTTTTCGAGAGCGTCGGATGAATATAAAACAAGATACAATAGACAAGAATGCAAAAAAAAAAAAAACCAGCCAGGCGGGAAACAAGCGCAGATGTGGATGGAATTTAATAAACCGAAATTCAGCGTGCAGGAGGCACAATTACATAGCTACCTATTCACAGTACAATCTGATTGCATACCCCCCTCCCCCAATCTGGCTTAAAGTAGTATCAAACTCTCCATTTTTTTATTTTTTTTCTAATAATGAAGATCAAACAAGTATACATTGCACAGTAAGGCCCCATTCACACTGAGCGACATGAAAATCGCGCGACTTTGAGCGATATTGTGCGACGAGCGATATTGCGCGATATTGAGCGACGTATCGCGCGACTTTTTCCTATTGGGCTGTATGCAATCAGGAGCAACATCGCTCAAAATCGCTCGAAAAAAGGGTCATGTAGGAGCGACAAGCTACCAGCGACGAGCTACAAGCGATATTGAGCGACGAGATGTGAACAGCTCCATTGAAATGGATTGGAGAAGCTACATAGCGCGATATCGCGTGGAAATATGAGCGATATCGCTGCAAAAATCGCGCGATAAATCGCTCAGTGTGAATGGGGCCTAATGCATTTCTAAAAAAAAAAAATTCTGGTCAACTGCCTCTAGCTTGTTCATTGGACGGTGAATTAGCCCAATAGGGATTCACTGTCCATTCAACGGGCAAGCGGCACAGGAAGCCGGAGAAGGCGGAGTCATGGCTCATGGCTAAGTAATGTGGCAGGAAATCCAAATGAAGGTCAAGTTCAAATGCATACATGTGTATATATTGTGAAGTTGGGGAGCTCGCAGAGCACTCGCACAGCAGGGTTTTGCATAAAACAAAAGCCTTTTATTTTCCTCTTGCAGAGCAGCCAGAAAACGGTAAACACAAAATACACAATTATCTTCAGCAAACTCAAAAAGTAAAAGTCCAAATCTTCGGTACAGATAACAAAACATAAAGATGTCTCACCGACTTGTTGTATAAAACGTCCCAAACCTGGGGAAATCCCTTCCCAGGAATATTAGTCCTGCAGCACAGCAATCCAGCAGGTCTCTCTCTCTCACTAGCCACAGCTGATTACTTTCTCTTCAACTCCCCACACTCCTCTCTGGAGCTGCTGACCTTTCCAACTGCTTCCTGTGTCAGGAAGATAAACCCTCTGGTGCCCTTTAATGGGACCACAGCCCAAAGAGTGGCGAAATATATCGTCCTTCAACCACCCAGCCTTGCCATCCTCTAACTTTTCACACTCAGTTTTAGCTGCCCGGATTTCTAGTTTGCATTTTTTGTTACATTCTTTGTAGTTAAGGAACGCCAATGCCGTCCCTTCCGTCTTATATTTTATAAATGTCGCTCTCTTGTCCTTGACGTGTTGTTTTACAGTTTTATTAAACCATATTTCCACTTTGTTATAATCCCAGTAACAGGTGACCCTGTAATATTTAGTAGCCGGGAAATGTCACTGAACACCTGAATCCAATGATTTGGAGGGGGAGGGGCCCCAATACTTTTGGCAATATAGTGTATATATAATCAAACAGTTTGTCTGAGGTCCTATTTTAACTATCGGTTAAGTGTGCTGTCCCTTTTATTCTAAATTAAACCTTGTGATACCAAAATTCTATTACTATTGTAGCGCTCACCCCCTAAGGAGCCGCTGGAATAACCCGGGTCATCACTTGTTGTCTAGGGTATTTGGTCTTCAGCTGCCCCATTAGCATTTAACCGCCCTCTTCTAGTTCCCACAAAGCTGATCTCCACTCCAGTAGTACAATGCTGAATAACCTAGTGGGCGCGTGCAATAGCTAGTTTGCTATTGGATATTGCAAAGTTAAATAGCCAATAGGAATCTAACTATGCATTCCTATGGTGTTTTTTTGTGCTTTTTTTTATTCTGGCGGCAGCAGCTGTCAGAATACTAAAAAAAAAAAACAAACCTGCAGATAGCAAAGAAGTTATTGCTTCCTGTGCTATCTGCCATCATTTCAGGGGGGTGCTCCCCCCTCCCACGGATTAGGGGGGGGGGGCAGAGGGCACCTCCCTGAAGTGAGAAGGGCACCTCCCTGAAATTGCTTTATTCATGTTGGGATCCCTGCAGAGTACATCTTGGCAAAATGAAAGAGGAACATCTCTGGAATACATGCACATTCTTCCATGATTTGTCTCTTTAAAGGAGAACTATGGGGTTAGGGCTTTTCCCCATAGTTCTCCTTAGGGTAAGGGGAGGACATAAACTAGCGTCCTCCCGTCACCCTAGGCTCAGTATATAGGGAGCTACAGCTCGCGGTATACTGAGACGCCGCAGCCGGAGCGGATCCTGACATCGATGTCGAGATCCGCCCAGCTGCGTGACTGACAGCTGGCTCTGCCTATCTAGAGGCAGAGCCAGCTGTACCCGCCCCCTCCCCCGTCCGTTCCGCCAGTCAGCGCTGGAGGATCGGATCGGGGAGGGGGGAATCCAGCCCCTCCCCTGTCATGGCAGAGAGCCATGACAGGATCGAGAGGTGAGCGAACGCCGGTATGTGTTCGCCCACCTCCTGATCTACTGAGCCGACCTGTGACAGTCTCATTGTCACAGGTCGGCTAGAACTATGAGGTGAGTGAAAAGCACTCACCTCATAGTTCTCCTTTAAGGAATCAATAGAACCAATAGGAATCTAGCTATGCATTCCTATGCCTTTTTGTTTCTTTTTGTTCTGACTGACGGCGGCCGGCGGCAGAGGAGCAGAGTAAACCTTTCCGGGAGAAAGTATTTCTCTCCCGGGCGGCCGGGAACCCCTATCTAATAGCGGGAGACTTCCTGAGCGTCCGGGAGAGTTGGGATGTCTGACTCTGTAACATTTTTTTTTTTTCTTTCTTGTGCATAATAATAACTTTGCTTTACACCGGCCACTCGGTGTATATAATAATCCGGCCACTCAGTGTATAAATTGCAAAGCAAAGATTTAAAAAAAACCATTTTGTTCTGTTATTTTCTGTTATTTCTGCATTCCGTGATACCGTAACCATGACTATTTTCTTGACTAATGTTGTGTTACTCTTTTTAGATGTGTTGATGATAAAATAATAACCTCTATTTTTTTTCCCCTTTCTCACTCCCATATTTTCTCCTCTCACCATTCCGTCGCTGAATAACCATATGCCGCACACTCATTCTCCTCATAGTTTGGTCTTCCCACACAACCCTTGCCTGTTTATGCTCATTTTCTCCCCTTCCTCTTCGATTCCACCCCCTGCCCTTGACGAGCCCTCACACCCGCCCCCCCTGAATACCACTGTTCTCGGATATGGAGCAGCACAGAAGGAGAAGGGGGCGCTGACCAAAGGCTAGTTGGGGCCAGCCTCCAACATGGCTAATGGCAGCGAGTTGGAGGAGCTGTCTGGCTCTCTAACCCAGTCGACAGCAATCTCTACCCACCTCAAGCTGGTGCTCCTGGGTTTCATCATATGTGCCAGCTTAGCGGGCAACTTACTGGTTTCCCTGCTCGTGTTGAAAGACCGCTCCTTGCACAAGGCTCCGTACTACTTTCTGTTGGATCTCTGCCTTGCCGATGCCGTCCGATCATCTGCCTGTTTCCCATTTGTCCTGCTTTCCATCCGCAATGGCTCAGCCTGGGCTTACAGCCTCTTAAGCTGTAAAGTTGTGGCATTCATGGCTGTCCTGTTTTGCTTTCACGCCTCATTTATGCTCTTCTGTATCAGTGTTACCCGCTACATGGCCATTGCCCACCATCGATTCTATTCCAAGAGAATGACGCTGTGGACGTGCATTGCGGTGATCTGCATGGTCTGGACACTCTCGGTTGCCATGGCCTTCCCGCCGGTATTCGATGTGGGGACTTACAAATTCATCCGGGAGGAGGACCAATGTATTTTCGAACATCGCTACTTCAAAGCCAACGATACCCTTGGATTTATGCTCATGCTGGCGGTGCTTATCGTCGCCACTCATATCGTCTATGCCAAACTACTGCTCTTCGAGTACCGCCACCGCAAAATGAAGCCTGTGCAGATGGTTCCGGCCATCAGCCAGAACTGGACATTCCATGGACCTGGAGCTACAGGGCAGGCTGCTGCCAACTGGATTGCTGGATTTGGAAGGGGGCCAATGCCACCCACTTTGCTGGGTATCCGTCAAAACACCCATACCGCCAACAGGCGCCTCTTGGGGATGGATGAGTTTAAAAGTGAGAAGAGGTTGGGGCGGATGTTTTACGGGATTACCCTCAGCTTCTTGGTGCTCTGGTCACCCTATATTGTGGCCTGTTACTGGAGGGTGTTTGTCAAAACCTGTAGCATCCCTCATCGCTATTTGTCCACTGCAGTGTGGATGACTTTTACTCAGGCCGGGGTAAACCCTATCATGTGTTTCCTACTTAATAAAGACTTGAAGAGCTGCCTTCAGCTCCACATCCCCTTTTGGAGGACGAAAGCCTTGCTACCTAGGGAGCCTTACTGCGTAATGTAAGAGGGAAAACCATTCCACTCCCAGAGTCACACTAACCTCAGTGATTGGGAAATAATGGATTTTACGTGACCCAGTGGGCACGATCGAGAAGAATTTCATAATTTGGACCATCATAAGACATAAACAAACAAAAAAAAACATCAAGTTGAAAGACTATAGCTTTTTTTCTTTTGAAAAAAGTTTCTTTTCTAAAGATACAATTGGTGAAAGGAGGACTCGGTGGTGGAGGGTGGGGAGGGATGACAAGAGGGAAAAAGGGGGGTGCTGGTGGGAATTTATGTATTTGTTTATGGACATATTTATTGCCATGGTTGAAATGCCATCACTTGTATTAATGTCTTTTGATTGATACAAATATGAGGGAGTTTGCTTTCACGGTTTGTCTATGCTTTCAAATTCTTGGGACGAGGACTTGGTAAGAACAGCAAAATGTTTCCCGGCACACTCACCAGCCAGCATGCAGAAAAACCTGTCTAACCCGCTAAGGTTTAAAGCAGAGGTTTAGATGCACGTCTTCTGCAGAAAATGTGAAAGCCGCACAGCAAACGCACTCATCAATTCGTTACCAGCTTTACAGCAAAGTGCACACGGAAGGGCTTCAAACAGTAAAACAGCTGTTTTACTGTTTGAAGCCCTTCCGTGTGCACTTTGCTGTAAAGCTGGTAACGAATTGATGAGTGCGTTTGCCATTTGTTTTGCTTCACTTGGTAAGAACATTGCCTGGGCTCTTCTCTAGCTCTGCACACAACAACAAAAAACAAAACAGCACCAGTTTTCTTATTATGTCACATCAAAGCAGAATACAAATGTCCTATACATTGTACCAACCCCGATACAACTGGCTGTCGCACCCATCACAATGTCAGGACAGACTGCAGAACCTTATTGATCAATGTATGTCATCAAGTGCTATCTGGCCTACCCAAAACCAGCTTTCAGATCACGGGTGGGCAACCTCGCCACTCCAGCTGTGGTGAATCTACGAATCCCAACAAGTCTATCTTATGCCTGTGGGTGCCAGACTCCTGCAGTGCCTCATGGGACTGGTAGTTCTTCAACGACTGGAGTGCCGATGTTGCCTACCCCTGAAATAGATTGTTCCAGGCCAGGGGCGTAACTAGAAATCACAGGGCCCCATAGAAAAATGTTGTATGGGGCCCCGTGATTTCTAGTTATACCCCTTGCAGAGCCTACTCGAGATCCCACCTGAGGGTGACTCTGCAGAGCCCACCATAGACTCTCTATGGTGGGCTCTGCAGGATCACCCTCAGGTGGGCTGGTCGCACTCCTTACCTCCTCTGTCGCCGGGCCCGCCTCCTTCTTCGTCACCGAGGCCGCCTCCTCCCCTGCTGCCGAGCACGGGCCCGCCTCCTCCTCCACTACCGGTGACGTCAGAGGCTCGCGACAGGGCAGTTCTGGGTGCTGGGTGGATAATTAGATAGCCCTTGCCCAAAGCAGGGCTACATACAGCCCTGCTTTGGGCAAGTGGAGCTAAATGTACAGCAGTGAAGCCGCCGCTTGTTTTGAAGGGTATACGTTGCCTGATCCAACCAATATTTATGGGCACGAGTAGACAGCCACGAAATGTTTATGCATTATAGCTCACCAGTCTTTGGATGAGGAAGCTGCATTAGTTTTCTGCTTCCAGGCTTTATTTATTTTATGTTCAACTGGTGATCCTGCCGGGAACACACTTCCTGTCCTAGGGTTACAACTAGGGATGCACCGATACCGGTACAGAGTACGAGTACCGATAAATTTTTTCCGGTACTCGCCGATACTAATTACTGAGTCCCATTCAGGAAGCCAGGTGACATGCAAAGACTCGCCACCCGGCTGACCGAGTAACAAGAAAGCCGTCCCAGCCTGTCCCCTCTCACCTCGGCATGTCCAGCCTGGAACGTTCTTGCTGGCCAAATCATGGAAGCCGGGCGGCGTGTAATGACGCGGCGCCCTGCTTTCTGATTGGCCGTGAGGCCGGCTCCATGCTCCCTCGTCATGAGATGACGAGGGAGCATGAAGCCGGCTTCCCGGCCAATCAGAATGCCAGGCGCTGCATCATTACACGCCGCCCAGCTTACTGATTGACCAGCTTCCCGACCAATCGGGAAGCTGGGCAGCGCTTCATTACACGCTGCCCGGCTTCCATGATTGGCCGGGAAGTCGGCTCCATGCTCTCTCCTCACAAGTGAGGAGAGAGCATGGAGCCGCTTCCCGGCCAAACAGGAAACCGGGCAGCGTGTAATGACGCGCTGCACGGCTTCCTGATACAGGAAGTACTCAGGCTAGGCATCGGAGCATTTGGGCGAGTACTCGCCCAAATACTCAGTATCGGCACCGGTGCATCCCTAGTGACAACGTTCACTCACTGTACTGTATCTCTGAAGGAGCAGCATTGAAGTTGAATTTTCTAGGGTCCTAATTTAGCTGGCCAGCAACTGCCAGCGGATCTCGACACGCCGGCCAGCTAAATTAGGACCCCTACCTGGAGCTCCTCCCACCGGACCAGCGCTGACTCGCCGCTGCTCTCCCGCACTGAAGGTAAGTGAAGAAAAAAAACATGGCGCAAGCATCGGGGCATTTTGACAAGTACAAGTACTTGTCATAATGCCCTGTTTTTTCCGCCCTCACCCTGCAGCGGCCGCCTGACTTGCCTTGCGGTAGCGCCGGGCCTGCTCGGAGTTACTTAGGAGCCGATAAGAACGAAGCACAGGTCATTTTACAGTTATCAATCAGAAAGCTGCCATTGAAACAATTGAATTTGAAAACACTTCAAAAAGGTCTATTTAACAGACTTAAAGGGACCAAATATATAAAGTTTAATGTTAGGATTTATATACCCTTTAATTAGACCTGAATATGCATGAATATGACCAAAGCGCCCCCCAAAAGAACCCTTCTCAACTGACCTATTATGGCTGGACGTTGGACCGTCATCTGAGGTCTACAGCCCGCATTGGAATATGATTGGTGGGTATAAGCAGCACAATATGTTCGAGTGTAACATGTATTGATAAAATGTAAGTAACAATGCCATACACAGTAGACATCTAAACTGTGGGAAAATTCGGCTCAGATATTTCTTTATTTCATAATTCGGGATTTGGGTCCGAAATTCGATAAGCTTCGTGTTTCGGATTCGGACGAAATCCAAATTTTCCGTTAGTTTCGGATGAGTTTACGAATATTCGTTACGAATACCACAGAAAACCATCTACAGATATTAATAGTAAAGCTGACTCTCTTAGACCCGAATGGCATTTGTGATCCGAATTTCCAAATTGCATTTGGGAGGCTCCTGAATGCCATTCGGGTCTGGGAGCCATATACATATATTACTATAGCTGAGGCTCCCAGACCCGAATGGCATTCAGGATCCGAATTTCTGAATTGCATTGAGAGGCTCCTGAATGCCATTCGGGTCTGGGAGCCTCTGGGAGCCTCCCAATGCAATACGGAAATTCACATCCTGAATGCCATTCGGGTCTGGGAGCTATATACATATATTACTAAAGCTGAGGCTCCCAGACCCGAATGGAAATTCGGATCCCCAACGCCATTTGGGTCTGGGAGCCTCAGCTTTAGTAATATACTGAATGTATATGGCTCCCAGACCCAAATGCCATTCGGGTCCGTGAAATCTGGCCACTCAGTATACATATATTACTAAAGCCGAGGCTCCCAGACCCGAATGACATTCAGGAGCTACCGAATGCAATTCGGAAACGCCAGCAGTTATGCGGACAGTTGAGTATTTATATGCCAAAAATGATTGGTTAAACTCCAAATTTTTTTTTTTTCACCATTACTCTTCCTTTATACTTAGGGTCGGATTTCCTCTCTCTGCTGCCCCAATGCCAGCCAGGTTCCTCAATGCGCCCCCCTCCCTATATACAGGCTGCTTACAAGTGATCTCGGCGACACCGCAGGGATCACTTGTACAAAACAAGCGGCGGCTGGGTGTTGGGGGTTGGCCTAGTGGGAAATCCGGCCTTGTTTATACTGGCTTTTCCAACGAGCAAACAAGACAAATAAGAGATAAGGTTTAAGGTTTTGGTGAGGAATAACACTTGACTGATGGATTCGTCAATTTTCGTCCCGCCATTAAAACCCCAATAAACACACGGACTGCGCAACGTGGATTATAACGGCCACAGCGGCCCCTTTTATTAAATCAAACAACTTTAACAATAACCAAAAGTAATAAACCAAATAATATACACAAATAATACTGTAAACGATTGTTGACCTTAGGGTTAGGGGTCTTTGGGTGACCAACAGCCCAAAAAGGCCTCTTCTAACACTCCACCCGTGTCCCCAGCCGCACCACAACCAGCTCGAGAACACTTACTACTTCCAGGTTCCCAGGGGGCAGGCCCCGCCCCTTACAGTTCCGGACACCAACAGGGGGAAGCACCCATACCAGCTAACAGGCATTTTGTAATCCACTCCGATTTTTGTAGACCCCACAAAGACCCCCTAACCCGCCAAGGTGCCGTGACAAAGAACCCCACAACCCCCCTACTACAAAATTCAGGGAGGGAGGGAGGGTGGGACAACCTGCTTCCTTCATTGATTTCCAGAAAAGGACGTCCCTAAGCCCATGCAGATCCTTCCCCTGCGGCTCCTCCCGGAAACCTGACTCCCACGTCCAATCAGGTAAGAGCAGCTAATCCCTTTTTATTTTTAACTATTTCTCCCGGGATTCCTCCCCCTAGTCATGTAGCCCCTCCGCTCAGGCTCTCCGGGTCTGTCTTTTGGTTGTCGTATAGAACCTTTTCCTTCTGACCATCAGACCAAAAAAAGTGGGACAATTGAGGAGGAAAGAGGGATTTGGATCCAAATGAGGGACAATCCCTCCAAACGAGGGACAGTTGGGAGGTATGTGCAGATAGTCCTGACCTAATGAGCTCAGGAGCTGTTGCAAGCTCTGCATCCCTGTAGCTACATCTCATCGTACTGGTCACCAGTGGGATGATCTTGGAGGTGATACAAAAGCCATAACCTGGAATCAGACAAAACTGTCTTTGCTGAACTGTGGGGGAAAAACCAGACAAGGTAAACAGTCACACATAATATTTGATCCCGCAATACATTTTCTCTTCACTGGAGCAATTATACCCAACCCCAGCTAAATGGTGTTCTCGTTTTTATTAGATTCACGAAGAATTAACATTGCAGCCAGGTTTTACGTGAGGAAAGCACCACACAAG